CATCCTCTTTGTGGTCATGAAAAATGTGAAGTTACCTGGGCAGCACTGACTTAAAACCCAATTGTTTCATAGCAAATGAGGCATGAAACCTATTATCAAAAAACATGATGTCTGAAGTGCATGCTGTCATTTCATTTTCCCAGAAGAGAGCTTCCGAACTGCCTGAACTGACTGCAAGGCATGGTGGGAGGCTGGAAATGCAAAAATTAGTGGTTCTTCTTGAGCAAAAGCACACTTGTGAGGCCAACATCTACAACACTGTATCTTTAGGAGTTCAGAGAGTAAAATGCCTCTATGATTAGCTGACACATTACCTTGTTTTTTAGAAGAGGCCTGCAAAATGCAGGAAACTCTCCACATATTTGATCTTTGACCTTGGCAGAATGGTCCTTAAAACTGGCCTCATCGCATGCTGGTGGAGAAATAGCTATCTGATGAAAAAAGAAAAAAAAAACACCTATAAAAAGTTTGTGAAAAGAAAAACCCACAAACCACGACGTTCTTTTGTAGGTCTTGTGCAACATGAGGGTGATGACACCTGAACAAGTGTGAGAGTTAAGGAGAAATGTCCCAGGGGCTCAGGATGCTAATTAAAAGCTGGCTAATACCTTGAACTATTTAACCTCTAGACAGGCAGTTATGAGAATTTTATTAGGATGATCAAGAGTTTGCTCCATCCCCAAATGTATCTATGCTTCTGAAGTTCACAGGATGTCCTCTGAATGTAACTCTTTTGGAAACATTTAAATAACCACTTGTTTTTGTCTTCAATTAATAATCATGGGAAGCAATATATTAAGTACCAACAATCTTTGGAGCATTGGTTCCAGGACTCTGCTAGCACTGCATTTACATAGCATTTACACAGCCAAAACAAAAATCCCTTTAATGGACTTTCCCCAGTTTTAGAAAGGTACAGCATTGAGTAGGAAGTAAATAGGAGCTTTCTGTAGAGAGAGACTATCTGAGTAAGGAACTTGCAGTTTGCTGTAGAGATTTCAGAGTTAAACTATTTCCAAACAGTCAAGCACTTTCAGGTAATCCAGAAATCCTATGATCTCACTTATGCATCTCATGGCAGTAATCTCAATAGTGACCTGTTGGTCTTTAAGGCAGCCTTAAGAAGGGCAAATATCTATCCTGGTAGCTAAGTGGAGCTTGGAAAAGTCCTGAATGTGCTTAGTTTGTATCCATCCCATGAGCTTCAGTGACACACAGGGAGAAAAGGAGCTCTTCCCTGCCCCTCTCTCTGCAGCCATCACACATTCAGGCTCTGATGTACCTTATGTGCGTATCGTATCTTATACTTCACCTTTTGGCATGTTTGTGAGACAGCTGCTACATAGACTTTAGAGAACCAGTGACAAAGAGCTTTTATATGAACTTCATGCTGCCCAAAGATTTCCAGGTTCTGGGGAAAATACTCTACTGTTCTATTAGTGAGCCCCAGAGATGAAAATTCAACTCCCCTTTTACATACTTTCAAATGCAGCTACTTTGTTACCCTGCCTCTCCTGGGAAGTCATTCCACAGCTAATGCCTGTGAATGACTTCATTGAATGTTCATGAGACTGAGGTCAAGAAGAAATTCTTGCCTGTGTTCCAAAATGTATTTAGTTAAGACCACTAAAGGTTTAGTACACCTTTCTTTGGCTCACTGGACACTGTACACTGAACACGATGAGATCAGGTGGGAGAAATCCCCCATTCACACAGGATTCACACATCCCTCCATTACCAGTCACTTCCCCAGCAGCTATTACCTTGCTTCAATTTACTGCTCACTGACTCTGACAGAGCAAATAGTTTATTCTATAAAAGTAGCCAGGGTCCAGCTTGCTCCTTCATCCTCCTCACAGCAGTAGTGGGAAAGTAAGGCTGCAAAACGCCCTGAGCAGAGAGAGCTTTAAGAGGAAAATTAAAAGACACATCCACTTATAAAAGTTGACAGGTAAAAATGTTCGCTGTTGGAGGGAGATGCTGAGATGCCAAGTCAATGCCACGCACACCAGACACCATGACAAAAAAGACACAAATGCAGGACATGAACTGTAGGGGTTTCATAACAGAAAAGACCTCTGACTTGTGATCTATGTACCTTTGCCATGAGACATTTCATCTGAAAGTCAGATCTGTCCAGTACTGGATTAACTTCTCTTTCCATGGCTTGACCTGTCACCCAGAGTACTACAGAGATGGGCACTCAGAAATGCACACTTAGAAAACTAGATAGATGTATTTAACATAAGCACTGTGCAGTGAATCTCACTGATCACAGCTGTAGTGGTCAGTGCCATTTCAGCCTGCCTTCTGCAAAACAAAATCCTACCAACTAAATAACGATTGTATTTTCATCAAGGTCGAGCGACAGTCATCATTTTCTTCTGACACTGTTAATCCTGCTCTGATAGGAAACATCCATATGTGTATCCTTCTCTAGACGTGTCAGCAAGACAGTCTTCTGCAATACATTTCAACAGAAACTAACATTAGCTGCAGTTGGAGCCACTGGTTCTCACTTGAACACCCACTACTCATTACACAGTACAGAATTCTGGCAAAGGGATTGTCTGCAAGGTGTTTAAACCACCTCTGCTCAGGGTGTAGAGCACACAAGAAAGACATCCCACAATGTAACCATAACCATTCAGAGCACACCTGTGTTGCACCTGCAGGCCCCAGGTTTAACTCTGCTTTGGCAAAGGTACAAAAATAATTTGCGTATTTCCATCCTCACAGGAAGAAAGCATAGAAAGTATTCAAGGATGCTGTGTATCTTTGTGATAACTATAGAAGACAACAGCGCTGGTTCTAAGCTATAAACACTTCCTGCTCCTTAAACCCTATAGAGCTGGAAAAAGTAGACTATAATTTCCATTGATGTAGTGACACACCACCAGTAAGCAGAAAGACTCTGCTTACTTGTGCTCCTTGTGCTATCTAAAAGGAGAAAGACTGGACTTCATCTTTATAGAGTAAGATTAGACTGTGTGATACCCCAAACTGCAACCTCCAGAGAAATGTTTTGATGGATAATCATTTTTTTATTTCAAAGTCTGCAAGTTTTTTTATTTCAAAGTCTGAACTGGGGGGAAAGGCCTGGATACAGCTGCTCTCCTGCCCATAGCAGTGTGCTCTCTGTATTCTGCATTCTTCCTTTGGTTCCTGTAGGCCTCCTATTCCCACTAAAATCAAATTATGCAATTCTCTTGGCGAGACTCAAAGAAACCCAGAAGCAAAATATTAATTTTCTGAATCAGAATCAATACACTGCACAATCACTTTCAATGAATTATTTATCATAAAATAGAATATGCTTACAAACCCCTTGGTTCCCATGTCTCCCTTTTCCCAATCTCCCGCAAAAAAGCTCCTGCAATATGGCAAATCTCTAGACAGGAGCGAACAATGCAATGTTTACTTATACTACAAATGCCAACTAATGGTACCTAACACATCAGAACTCCATAAATCTGCAATTCTCGCCACTGAAGTGAAAACAAACAAGTAACCATCACACTGCCTTTCAGCAGTGGCATTCCATCCCTCGATGACATGGAGTTAATAACACTGGGGAACCTTGAAGGGACAGAGTGCTTTGCTTTCAACCACCACAAACGTGTTTGGAATGGTATGGGAGCTTTACAAGACAAGGGATTTTTCTTTAATTGTTAACTTCTTTAAAAGTATTTGTCATTAGAGAGCATCTTACTGCTATATTGGTAAAGGTCCATTACCTACACAACGTCAGGAAAAATGAAATGAATGCTCACTAACATGAAATCAACCAAAGAAAAAGGTAATGGGAAACCACACAAATGAGAGAAAGCGCTCACGGAGTTAGTACGACCAGATGGCTTATTTTCAGCGTTTGGGGCAAGTCAAAGTTCAATATTTTCCTTCCCAGAAGTTATTTTCATGCAAAAGCTCTTCTAGCTCTAATTCAGAACTGAAATTTTGATTTATATCTCAAACCCATCCACCTGGCCAGGCTTCAGTAGTTCTCTCTAATGACACACCAACAATTTGTCGGATGGCTGTCCACAATACTGAAACCATTTAGGATACATGCTAATTGCTTCATTTATGTGTTCCTATGTACAAGCGAGCACAGCTATACCAAAGGAATGTCTCTATATTTTAGTTCTCTTTTTTTCATTGTTCCCCATAAACATTAAAAACCACGAACAAGCTTGTAAGAATGGTTTCAGGCATGAGGAACAGGTGGTGCTAATGTCAGTTAAGTATTCCTGCAGGGGGAAGACTGGAAGCTTGCTGTAAATTATGGGGGCATTTCTGCAACAGAAAAATTGGCTTTTCATTGATGAAGCTGGAAGCACTCTTTGATAACAAACCCACTGGGAGCTTCAAATCATATCACATCACTAAGTTTTTTTTTCTCCATTTGTCTTGAAAAAACATTATTGCAAGTGTAAGTGCTTGCATGTAGCACAAAGAAGAGGAAGGTTTAGAAAGACCACATACACTTCTGATTCATTACAGCTGAAGCATCCCATACTCTGACATGTATCCAGGCCAAATTCCCCATATATTTATACTGAGGCAACCTCGCTTGCATACATCCCATTGAACATAAGAAACTAAGAAATGAATTTTTCAATTTGGTAAAAAAAACATCGATTGGATAATGACTTCATCACATGCACCAAAAGTCAGAAACCTATGCTTTATATGTCTGTAGGATTAGTGCTGTGAGGAAAAGAGGAATGACTGTGTGAATCCTTGCAGAATCAGGCATATAAGTTTCTAAATCATACCATCAAAGCCCTTTACTAATCTTCAATATTAGTTCCCAGTGCTAGAGCACTTAGAGAACGTCCTCCCTGTAGGTGATTGTCTCCACAGAGAGATATGAGATGGACAGAACATCACCTGAAACTTTGGTTTCCTGCTGATGAATTACTCTGGGACAGTGCCATCCATATGCTCAAGTAATATTTTGAGAGGAAAATGAAAATCACAAGAAAACTGTCACTGACCTTTGTGCCCGGTCTGTTATTGTTATTTCTTCCTCCAGATCTAGGAGTAGCGCTGCCTGAGCCATCACCTTCTTACTGCAGGGCAAGGATTTGAGGTGCAGAATGAGCAGAGCAAGGCAAAACTTGCTTCCCATCTCCTCCAGCTCTTGAGTTCCCAGCTGCAGGCCCTGGTGGAAAAAAGTAGGAAGTTTCATTGCTGGGTGTACAAACTGCAGGTGTTGGGAGATTGTTTTTCAGAAGGGCAGCTGTTAGTTTTCTTCCTCCCAATTGAATGAGGTGTTCGTTTGCTTTCTATATACGCAGAAATTTCAGTCATTCATGAATTCAATGACAGCATTTGTTCTACAGGATCTATTCTAAAATAGCTTCTATTCTACAACTGGGGAAAGAGGCAAGCAATGTAACTGCTTTGGTTATGTTTACTGAAGTTGTCATTGTAAAAATTAGACTCATACCCCAGGAGGATCTGACTAAATACAAATCATTAGGTCTCATTTTTTCTTTCTCTCCGTAGAAGTGTCATCTCCCTAAGCAATGGGAAACAAATAGGTTTGATGACTGTAAATACTGGGCAGTGGCAGAGATTAAAGAAAAAACAGTGAAGAGGGGAAGGAGGGAAGATCTTTAACAAGTTATGAATTGTTTTTTAAGAAAATCAATTACAAAGTAATTGCAAAATAACAAACAACTCTGAGGAATTTCTCAGTCTATTAAAAGCTTATGTCTCTAGTAGGGATGTGCAGGCAAAGAAATGCACAAACAGGATTGGGATTACTAACATCACCTTTCTAAGAGGACTCCTTCAAGCTGTGGATCCTCACTTGGAAGAGCCCTGACTTGAATAGTCTGTACATGTTTTTTCACTAAGTAAAAAAATAAAGATCCAACAAAAAAGTAACACATCAAGGGCCTACATAGGAGTAATCCAGCGTAATTACTGGTAGTTTCTCACAAGCAGTGAGATGGCAAGAGACCAAAAAAACTCCAAAAACACAAAAGAATCACTGAAAAAAAAAATAACCCTAAGAAACTCAAAATCCCTCATCTTTGGCATTTAGTGATCACATCATGTGTTACTCCTTAATGCTATCACACCAGGGGTTGAATCAATTGCTGAACAATTGCTGCCTTTGTCAGTATCAGCCCTGTGTGCTTTTGAAGCACAAACCATCTCTGCAGCCAACCTTCTGACAAGAACTCCAATCCCATTTCCAAGACTGTTTCCTTAGCAACTGCCATAAGTCCATGTTCACAGCCCTGGCAGCAGCCACAAGCACGGTGTGCGCTCCATGCCAGCATGGCCTGCACTTGACCCTCCACTCAGTGTTTGTTAGTGGACATCTTATAGCTAACAGAGCCAATATATATATATTCCAGTAACCCATAACAGGGGGCTGAGCTCTGATCTCATATTTCTTAGCAGTTTGTTTTGCTCTTTAAATTTTTATATGTTTCCTGTGTAACGTTGCATTTTTAACTTCCCTAGGATCTTCTGCAGAGCTGAGAGAAAATGGGAGCCAACAGCATGCAGGTGGATGGAAGAAAGAGGTTTCTCAGGTGACCATCTCCAGCTCCCTTGTAATGCTTTTTTTGGTTCACGTTTGTTAGAGGCCACAAAGTACCTCAGAGGGTGAAAGCCTCCACTTCAATCCCAGCAGGTCCAGAATGTACAAAGAAAATCTGGCACTACAGAAGCCCCATCTGATAACAAATATATTTTCCTATAGTAATACATTGAAATTCTACTTCTTTTCTGAAACTCTATGAGTAAATATGAATAGGTAATTAAAATGATGAACAGGAACAAATAATGCATTATTTTGAGCTCAAACAATACTGAGTGGTTGGACAGCTAGATAGGCAGAGGACATGCCAAAAAGAGCACACAAACAATAAGAGCAAACAGAGCCTCACTACCAGGCAGGGCTGAAGGACTCTGGAGAACTGACTTCTGCACTCAGAAAGTCTCTTAAATATCTTTAAAGCAGTCAGCAAATCTCTAACACCATTTCTTCTCCCACCCTAATCGCCTATACTGCAAGCTTTGCTAAGTAAGAGCCAGGTACAATGAACTATAGTAATTATTAATAATGGTAAGAAAACAGATGAAGAGGCTTCGAGGAACCAATGGTCATTAATACAAAACAGCGAGGGTCTAGCAGCTCTACACAGATTCCTAACTTTCATTATTTTACTTCAGAAGATATTTTAGTGTGCCAGAGTTACAGTCGGCAGGTAGAGTGGTGACATTTCTGAGCAAAAAAAATGTCACTTCCACAGCAGAAGAGTTATTCTCTCAGGGCTAAAAAATACAAAGAACATCTTGGGGCTTTCCCTGGGGTGTATCTCAGGGTCCTGCTTCCAAGGCCTAGGCAGCACACTAAATACCTATCAATCCAGGAGATGCGAATAGTGACAGTGCTAAAACTCAGCCTGTGGGCTTACGATTCCCTGGGGTTTTATTCAGATATGAAGAGGCCTTAAGAAACTATGAACAGAGAAATAATAATAATAAAACTATAATACACCTGAGAAGCCTCAGACAGTAACTGCTCATGCTCTGAAGTTAGCTGCTGTATGATGGATCCATATTGCTTTCAGAACAGACAGCTTGGGAATAACAGCTGAAAACCTCAGCTAGAACATTACAAGTTAACACATTTAATTCACCTCAAACACAGGCAGACATTTTCTCACTCAGAAAATGCTCTCCCTCTTCTTCCTCAGCTCTCAGCAGAGGTTGGGGCTGAAGCTGCATAGGTGACTACCATTAAAGAAAAGACGTCGACAGAACTGACATATCAAACTAATGGTATTGATGACATTTGCCAGCAGTGCCATCAGCTGGTGCTCTGGTTAGGATCCAGCCCCTCTTGCATTGCTTGAAAGGGATTTTCCTCGTAGCTCTGCAGTACACAGAGCTGTAAAAATGATCAGATCATGCTCACAACTTTGAGTTGTGAAAAAATTCTATGAGAAATAACAGAAAGAGAAGCGGTGAACTTTGGTTTTGGTTAAGAAGCTGGTGGGAAGCACACCTCCACAGCTGTGAAGCTACGATGTTTCTACTCATAGTGACAATATATAACCCATTTGCCATTACAGGAGGAAGCTGTTCTACCTGTCAGCAGGTTCTCTGCTTTGTCCTGAATTCTCAGTGACCCTATCCTTCTCTATCACAATGCTTTATGGCTCCGTCCTCCTTTGGAGGCATCTGTATGAGAAGTGGAACACAGTGCAGTCTTCCAAGCCAGCAAAACCTAAGCAAAGTCTGAATCAAAAAACTGGACCAGAAAGCTGCAGACAAGATCATCAGTCTTAATTAGTTTAGGCTCAGAGATATGCTAACAAAGCTATTCTACTTTGATGATCAGCTCGTATCTTTGCACAGTTCCTGCTCTTCGTAAGATGAAAGCAGCAGTCTGGATCAGCGTTGGCTTGATACATCACACTCTGCTGCACAATACAAATATGCCCATTGGTCCCATGGGCCCCCTCATGCAAGTCTTTTAAAGGCATAATGTTAAAGGATAACAGGTTAATCGTTTCCTGGCTATTATAAAGAATAATGGAGCTAAATATTTTTTGCTAATCTCTTTTCATTTTTTCATACCACAGCAGACAGTATGGCAAGAGACATCACCTAGTAACACTCTAATATTAGGATATATCTTAATACATGATTTTGTGGGAAGAAACATTCCAGAGGAACTCAACATGGCTAATCAGATGAATTAAATGGACACAGTCTGTTAGCTCTTAGTCTAGTTAGACCAATACATTTATTCTCTTTTCCACCAAAACCGTTTTTATTATAACAGCTAGGGCAGTGAGGTGTTCGCCTGCATCTCCTAATTGACACTGTGTCACAGTAACAGGAAACATGGAAGGAGGAAAAAAAAATAAAGCTATTCTGTGATTTATCGTTTGGCCAAGATGATGGCAATAAAAACTCTCCTAATGAAAGTTGATGAAATCATACCGGAAAAAACAGTTTATTCACATTCAGCACTGATGCATCAACTATATATTCACAACTAAATGCTTCCAATGTCTCTCAATTTGCCCAAAAACACATCATGGGCTAAAAGACAATGTAACGGGAAAACTTCATTATTCATTACTCATATGCTTTAAACAATCCCACAGCCAAAGGCAGCAACAGTTTCATAACACAGATATTGTTGAAGAAGGTGGAAGGACTCCAAAAGTTAAATGAGAAATTTCTCTCTCCAGCAGGGTAGCTAGAGCTGCCGTTAAACTGGAGTTGAAAGATATTAATAAACACAAGTAGACAACAGATTTCAGAGCCATCATTTTTCTCTCGCATTCAGAGAAAAGAGATCTTTGGCATGCAGTATGGTCACTTCTGGGCACTATTCAATCCTTGAGGCAATATTTTTTCCCTGCAAACTTACTTCCAGTCAACACATATACACACACATGCAGAGTATTCTCTGCATCTCAATTGCTTTACACATGCACAATGGTTATGCCCTAAGGCTGGGTATAAATAAATTGACAGTCTGGTTTCCCACTAATTCCATCAGTGAGCTCTCCATCGGAATACTAATAGAAACTGTTTCGAGGCTGTACAGGATATAAACCACACAGCTGAATGAAACATTTGGTGCCTATAGCCGAAATTTTAGCCTGGACCAGCCCCAAAAGATAGTGTCCTTTAAACCCCTGTGAAAGAAAACATGCTGATACACATTGGGGAACCAGCTATTGAGATGAGGACAGTAGGGAACGAGCCAGCTTTTCTCATGCCCCAGAGATCCCTAAGCAGTAGGTATGGCAAGCAGAACAGACGAAGTTTAGGGGATGGAAATTTGGGCCAAAAGATTTCAAAGGGATTAAGCAAGCAGAAAAGGCTGAAGAGAAAGAAAAAAATTGGGTAGCAGGAATAGTAGAAAGATGAGAGGGGTTGAGTTAAAGACAGAAGATAAAAGGACTGGAGAGATAAAAGGATGAGAAAGAGGGAGAGGTGGTTGAGGTCAGTGGATGCTGATATGGAGCAATGATAACAAGAGGAAGACTAATGGAACCCTGAATCCCCATCTCACTGTTGAAAAGGTGTGCCTCACTGTGAACATCAGTCCTCAGTATGCTTAGTACTTTGGCCACTGGGTGAGGAAATAAGGCCCAGCTTGCCTTCAACCCT